CCCCCGGTCAGCCCCCGGCTGGGCCAAGCAGAGCTGGGGCTTTGGGGGAGTGGGGATAAAACCCGGAGCGCTCGCGGCCGCCCCTCGCCCCGGCAGCTCACCTGGGAGCCCAGGGAGGCAGCGGCCCCCGTCCGTGGAATCCTCGCTGCTAATTTGGGCTGTGCAGATACCACCGGAGCACAAAAATGAGGCCAAACGGAGATGTTCGAGCGCGTGAAGACTTGGGGGCAGGGGGGGAGCGCTCGGCACCAGGCGCTACCTGGAAAGAAGACGATTATTTTAAGTCACCTCAATGATTGTGTTTCGAGAGGGGTTGTAATCCCAGCCGGCTCTGTTAAAGGCGATTCAAACACCCTAGAGTTTTGGCTGCAGCCCCAGCGGCATCTCGCATCATTTCGGCCTTTCATGTTCCACTGAACCGGTTGTACTTCGGGACAATAAAGCTTTAAGACCTAATATAAAGTCGATTATTAGTCATTAATATCATGACTCGTTTAGGCATTATGCTGAAAACCATCTGTAATGATTTGTGATCAATCATGATGATGGTCTTGTTAGAAATTAAGTTCAGTTTTCAGTTAGAAAACCGAAAAGGAAAAGAAGAATACTTTTAGAAGGAAGGCTTCCTTAACCTGAAAATTGTATCTGACAAAAATCCACAAAGGAAAAATAACTCCAAACAATTCAAACAGTGAATCTGCCAAAATAAAAGGAGATTAAATGATGATTTTATGGATTCTTAAAATTGTAATTGGAAAGATCCCCATCTAACTGATATTTAAACACCAGGCACTTCAAATAATACTCTGCTGAAGTCACTAAAATGGGAGGAAAGGGCATCAGTAAAAACTGACGTTTTACTCTCCCACTTTGGAGGCCTCATCACAACTTTCCCCTTCCACCGGTGCTATCTGCCATTCCTTTGAGGAGATCCAGGCTCTCTCATCGGGTGTCTGCAGCACAGGGGGTAGCCCTGAACCAACCTGCAAAGCAATTCACGAACCATTTACTAAACTTTGACAAGTGATTTGCGAATCGCCCAGGAGCCGGCAAACATTAAAACCAGAATTCCCCCTGGCTGGATACCTTCCAGCAGTAAGGCACTGAAATTTGGTCCTTCTGCTTGGAGGGAAACAAGCCTCTTCCCAAAATTGCAACGAGTCACAATAAAATCGCTAAATAAAAGGAGAAGGTTCATCTTCTTCAGGGGCCTGAGTGGTACCTCTGTTCAGCGGGCCTCTGCCTACTCAAAACCCACCCAGAATATCTGTAAAACTTGCAAGTCAGATTCACTGTATTTCAGGGCCACATTCTGCCCTCCTTTACGCCGGATTTGTAACACAGCAGGATCTGGCCTTGCGTAATCGCGCTGTGGATGCACCCAGCCGAGCAGTGCCTGCCTTCCGGAGCTCAAAGTCCGCAGCAGGTTTACAGTCCCCGTGCCTGGGTGTGTGTGCGCTATCACCGGCACCAGAGGCAGGACCACAAACATTTGCTAAATAAGCAGCCTGATACGCACAGCCCTGATCTCGACGTGTTATACTCGGCAGTAAAAAGCCTGAGCCCGTGTCATCCAAGTTTTAAACGCCTCTGGTTTCGTTAGGTCGCTCCAATTTTACACCAGCACAAGACAAAACTCGCCGCCCCTTCTGTTTCCTACTGTAACTCTCCCAGGCCTTTCTTGGCAGGAGTTTATAGTCACGCTGTAACTCAGATTGTTCCTCTGGACACAACTAGTACAACCTGCATCCACACTCAGATGCATTCTCAGCTGAGCATAGGTCACGATACGGGTCGATAGGAATAGAGCTCCTTCCTACGCTCCGCACACAGCAGAGGCTCCGTCCTGGCGGGACAAGGTTGGGCTACACAAGGTGAATATTCCTCCTGCCGACTGCTCCTCACATGGCCTCGCAGCTGATTTAACGAGACCTTTCTGGCCAAGAAACTCCACTCTGCAGCTTTGGAGCAACCTGACCAGGAGGTGCCTGCAAGACCCAAACGCAGTTTGTCTGAACATGTTAGTAAGCACAGAGAAACAGCCTGCAACTGAGCTGCAGAACACTGTGCTAGGAAGTGTGGAGAGGTTTCCAGAGCCTGCAGGAGTGGGGGGGGGGGGGGGAAGTCTGCATGTCTGCAAGGAGGAGCCACCCAAAACACATCCCGTTTCTGAAGGATGCACACAAGGGCTTCCTGGGGAGCAGCAGCACAGATGTAATTGTGCAGTCATAAGCTTGACACAGGCCCTGCTCACAGATGAAGACAACATGCTAAAAGAGAAGGAACCAAGCTGTGTTCTTCTGCAGCAGTACTGACCTGACGTGGGCTACAGGCATAGTCTAAGTGCAGCGTTGTCTTTGAGCAAGGATGGTCAAAGCCTGTCTGATTGAAGAGGTCAAGTCTCATGAAGATCATTCAAAACCCCTCCTGCCTTGAAGATAAATAAATAAATGAACAGAAATCAAAGACTGGAAAGATTGGGAGGGGGGAAGAGACATGGGCTTCATAGGTAATTCATTAGAAATACTACAGACTGCCAGGTAATCTCTGCCCATCAACACATGTGCTAATTAGGAAAGAGCAGCAAAGTTTGGTGTGCTGGAATGTTGGCATCCCTCACGTTTTTCAAAAAAAGAGGGAGTGAACTGCTTCCTATGTTTCTAATTTCATCCTTGGCCTTTTTCTTTCTAATTGCAGCACACACGAGTACTATGAGATTTCATCAGGTAATCGTACAACAGAACTTTATTTTCTCCCTGGATGTTTTTTCCTTAATGCACGCAGGAGCTGGCAGGTAAATACCTAATGCTGCCCCCAGAGCAGGCAACTTTTTGCAAATAAAGACCCCCTCAGCACCGGTAACTTGGGAGAAGCTAAACAAAGGGCCTGCCTACAGCCAAAGCTGCTGGTTTGCAGCGCTCGAGCAGTGCTCTCCCCACCAAGCAACGCGGGTCTCCTGGGTAAGAAGGGATCACACTGCATGATTAAATACCACTAGGACCTCGTGCCATCTCCGTTCAGGCCAGCTCAGGGGTCAGTACTGACCCTCCAGAGCAGGGCCCTCCTCATGCAAGGCCCAGCCACAGATAAAAACAAGCTCCTCAGTAAAAAACCAGGGTGCGGCATTGCTGCGGTCTGCACCTGTACAGGAGCAGGGAGGGACCCACACCTGTGAGCTGGGCTGCTTTCCTTGGGATTTCAATGGCTTTTTTTCCTTTTTTTTTTTGCTGGCGCAACTCTTCCACTGTAACAAGGCTGCCCCACACGTCCCGAGGCACAGAGGAGCTGGTTAAAACAGAAGGAAGGAATGCTCCACCCCTTCTCACTCCAATTTTAGCTCTCTTTCTCCCCCCCTTCATTTTCTGCTTTAGTTCATGTTTTTCTCCTTTAATGTTTTTGTGGCAGTAGGAGAAACACCGTTCCCTAGAATGCATAATATGCTTAATTATCATTCTCTGTTAGTTCTCTAGGAAAAAAAACCCTACAGGAGAAATCAGTTTAATTAATGAGTATGACCAAATGCAGCCTTAGTTCTAATGCAGTATCATATATTATATGTCCAGTTGGGCAGTTGATCTTCTTTGGGTAAAATGAACAGAGATGCAAAAAAACCAGGGAGCTCATGAACCAATATTCTGAGTGAAACTACCCCCTTTTTTATAGTTATTCTAAGCTTCCTACAGATTTCAATGACAACGTTAGTTCCCAAATACTGCTTTTGGCTTTGGTAACACAGGATTGGGCCTGTACAGTCTAGTAATAGAAAGCTATTGCTTGGCAGTACCAAGGGTTGTGCCACATGGTAAATTCATTAAGTAATTAAGGAAAAAACAAACAACCCTTAACTCCAAGATAGCTCTCAAATAGCCATGCCTAATAAAAATCCCCAGTGCCTGTGAAGGACAAGAGTAGTAAGGTTTCTTCTGAAAGTAAGATTTGGTGATTTAGATGCTTTTCAAAAGGGCTACTCTTCACATACTAAATTATTAAGGAAATATTATGGAACAGGATTATCAGGAAAGAAAAAAAAATGCAGTGTGCATTAGCTGGCTTAGTCAGAGGAGGTTTTGCTGCATTCCTCATGCACGGAGATGACTCCCTCCCTCTGTAATTCCCTGTGCACTCCCAGTTCTCTGGAGACTGTTGGTGTGCATCATCATTGCTCCAGCTGAAAGACTGTCCTCTGACAGGGGTTTGGGCTCCCTACCATTGCTGTATGTCTTCTCACATCTTTTTGCCTTTTTATAAAGATCCATGTTCCTTCCCAAATCCCATTCAGGCTGCATCACCTGCATGATGTACTTCATTTCTGGCCCAGGCCAGACTGTTCACACTGGTGCTGTTTGTATGGCACACACGCTCCTAAAACAGTCTCCCCTTTCCATTCTTGCTTCTTGTGACACAGTGAATTGTACTCTGCACTGAGCCATGTTTTAAACCATTTTAGGCTGCTTTTCTTTCCCTTTCAGTGCTCACTCTGCAGTCTCTATCAAAAGCACAAGTCATTCTTTTCTGGAACACTTGGTTACTTTTTTGGAGAGAGGCTATGCTGCTGTCCTGATATTCATCTCATACTGGGGCCAGTGGATTAAGAGGGAAAAAAATCTGCAGATAAAACCAAAGCCTCTGTTTTACAGCTGAGGAGGGAATACTTCTAATAAAGAAAAAACACAGAAACAGTGGGGAAAAATACAGAGATGGCCAGTCTTCAGGCCTAATTAACCACTGGTGTAAACAGAGGTCTCTGCAATCAAGCCAGAAGACTTCGGGCCACCCACCAGTCTTGAGCACAAACCTAACATGAGCCTGAAAACCTTGACAACATGGGGCTGTCAAACATGCAAGCCACACATGCCTTAATACAGGGGTTGCCACATGTCCCTTGTGCTGATGGGCCACCTGCTCCTCGGTCACCAGGAGAGAGCAGCTCCACTGCTCTGGGTTACCGTGTGCGCTGCACGGGCTACAACCCTTTTCCGAAGCAAAGCTGCTCCTACAAAGCTCTACGTGGAGACACAAATTTCTGGAGCACACATGCCCCCTGCACTCTTCTTAAGCACTCTTGAAACCTGAAAGAGGCCTGGTTGCATGGGCAAGTTGGAATAGGTTTGGCACTGCTCAACCCTGCCAAAGGCTTGGCAGACCAAATGAGGCCACCAGTGCGGTGACTGGAGGCTTCTAGAAGTGGATGTTCCTGCTCAGGTTCGTTGCATTAAAGCATTGTACCACAGTAGCAATGAGTTGGGGGCTGGGAGGGCACAACCAAAATGGTGTCGTGGCTACCACATTGATGTGGAGTGTACATGTGCAGTGGCTCAGGGTGTCACAGAGCACTGCAATATGTCATGCAGGACTTAAAACCATGTCAGCTGGAGTTTAATGTGTCTGTGCTCAGATGCATTACCAGAAAAAAAAAAAACAAGAAAAGAAGCCAACAACCACCTATTTCAATCCTTATTTACATGAAAACATGAGTTAATACATCAACATCCAAATGAATGCACCCACCTCTAGAGCTGCTTCTGCTGGCTGGAATACAGCCTGTAGAGCATATTAATGCTCCTACACAGTTTGGGGGGCTTGGGCCTCTTGTTTGAAACTAGTTTCTGCAGCTTCTTAGAGCCTCTAGATTCAAGGAATGCTTAACAAATAAGACAGAGGTATTTTCAAAGTAATTCAAATTTGCAATGATAAATCCTTCCTCTGACTGTCCCAGGTGCAAAATTCTTTACAGACAATGTTTATCTGTGCTCCTTTCAGACAGAGGTTTCTGAGGGTCTAATTTTAAGTAAACAGTAAGTGACCTACACCACTTCTTTAAAGAAAAAAACAAAAAGCCAAAACCAACAAACCCCAATAAAACAGAAGTTGAATCTGCAGGGCCAAATTTAGAAGAGGAAGAAAAAAAAAAAAAAGGAGCTGGCAAAAAACCTAGCACAAGAACATCAAATGTAGCAGCATAAACTCCCACTGCCATTCTGTTCCTCTACAAATAATGGAAGATCATATAGAACTGAACTCATTGAGTCAGTGCAGTGAATGCACAAGTCGTTTTAACCCTTCACAAAATGTGTTATTTCGTAGACTGTGTGCAAAGAGGAGATTAAAAAAAAAAAAAAGACTGAATGGGTACATCAGATGCTTTTAGTGACTATGCCTGTGGTAATGATTCATTTTGTCTCTCTACATTCCCTAGTGCTTGCACATCTAAGAGTCAGCAGAAGCTCATACTGTATGTGCAGGTAAACAGACTGTGGGTCATGTCTGTATTTCTTAACTCTGTACCTAAAACCACCCCTGTAACGGTCAGAAACACATTTTATATTTCTGAAGAAAAAAGGAACTGCACAAATCAATTTAGGTTCTCCTGTAACCTTTTTTTATGTTCTTTCACTTTAAAGGAAGCTGTTCATTTTTAGTGACCATTAGCCATAGGCTAAAAAAGGTTTACACCTAATTAGTATTCTGAAGCAAAGATGAAACACTAAATCACCGCAAACCCACCCAGCATTTAGGTTCTACCAACAGGGCAAAGAAAAAAAAGCTGAAAATTCACCATTTATCATCACAGCCCATCTTGCCCTTCCATTCGCACCTCTTTAAGCTCTCTTTCTTCCTCCCACGGTGTCTCTGGGGTGCTAATGTCCTTGAAATGTGGCAGGGGGTCTGGAAGAGGGGAGAGGCAGCTCTCCTGCCTGGTCACACCCACCTGACAAAGCATGTGTGGGCATTTGCCGGGGTGGAAAAGAAAAAAAAATAGGGGAAAAAAAAGAGAGATGTCGTAGGATGGCATGGAGCTAGGGAAGAAGATGCTTCATGTGGCATTCTGCTCCCTCTGTGACAGCCATAAGCAGCTCTCTCAAAAAAAGCAATAATTCTCCCTTTTTTTTTTTCGTTTCTTTTAAATTTTAGGCTTGGTGAGGGAACAAAACAGACCTGATGGGATTACAGAGGGGAATGAGTCAAGGAAAAGGAGTAGATCCAAGAAACAAGGAGGAAGAGCTTTATCCCCATTGATGGTGCTGCTACTGAGTCCAGGACGTTCTCCGGACAGCAGCAGGAGAAGAAAATAGCATGAGGTGTATCACTGAGCCTTCCCCTGCTGCTTCTCCCAACCATAAAAAAAAGGGATGGGCAGAAGGCTCCTAAACACCTCTCTTCCACACAAATCCACTTTTCTACAGAAGTTCAGCTTTACAAGCCAGTTTGTACCAGATTCATTTGTGGAAGGAAAGATGCCAATGACTGTCCTGAGCCATAATTCCTGTCTGTGGAGTGAAGGACCTGCCCACCAAGCCAGGTACTGCAGAGAAAGGCACCAGCCTATTTGTAATAACTGGGCAGAAACAGGCACCCTCTGCAAGAGGGGCCAGCCATGCCAAGGAGGGCTGATTGTCCATCTGCTATCCCTCATGCCCCAGTGCATTTTCTAATCATCCGCACCCAAGGGACATTCCTAGTGTGATTCCTGCTAAGCAAAAAAGTCATAATAAACCCCACTTGCTTTGCTTGCTTACCTACTACAACAATAGTGTTATCTTTCAGGTTAAATCTCTTTTCTTTTTCCCCTGAATCTGCTCTTCTGCCAATTTTCCTTTACTCTTACTGGATGTTCAGCCCCTGCCATAAGAACAAAAGGAGTTAAGCAGGTGTCAAAGTGCTGATAATTTGACTCCACACACATATCCAAGTACTATTCCCAAGCAGGTTAGCACATAGAAACCTCTGTTTGCTGGCAGCACTCTTCAAAGGAAACGCTTTCTCATCTGAGCAGCTGGGAAAGTGCAAGTGCTCACTCCTTACTCTAGTTGTGGGGTTCACAGAAAGAACATTGGTGCATTGCTCCTACCAGCAAAAAGGGAGGCCTGGCATCTCATGGGTTTCTTTTGGTTTTAAAACCAGAACAACCTAACCCAAACCACTTCTGTTGGAGAAACACTGCCTTCCATGAGATGTTTAGGTGAAAGACCTCAGGCTCTCAACAACTTTTTTCCTCCGCGCTGCCACAGCCGATGTGGGCAAAATAAGGAGAAGGAAATGCATTTGTTGTTTTGAACTCTCCTTCCTTTCCTTTAGCAAAGATTCCCCCTAAATAAATGGAAGTGGGGAGATCTTGGAATAAGCCCCAGCAAAATTTTAATCACACTTTTTCTTCTTGCAAGCGAGCCATCATTCAGTAGCTAGGTGGTTCTAAATAAAGAACTCTAGTCAACAACAGGAAATAACTCCCACAGAAAAAAAGGGCAGAATACAAACTCGCAGCAACTCTCGTACATAGCTCACAACGGCCTTTTGTTCCATGCACATTAAGTCCAAAATCTTTACTTTTCAGAACATGTTCTTACTCTAAGTAATTAAAACTTATTTTTAACTTGTCGCGAGTATGGATCCCTTCCTTGCCTTTCTCCCCAGAAAAAGTTACATTAAGAGTAGGAAAATCACAAGCCATTCCTATTTTTCCTATTTCATTTAATAACTAAGGACAATCTAGGAATGCCACACGATGACCAGGATGGTGGGGGGGTTATATTCCCCCCCCCCTCCTTTTTTTTTTGCAGGGGGAGGTGCACTGTTGTGTTCTCAGCTGCAAACAGTTTACATCCTTCACAACGTTCAGAAACCACTTTATGTTCAGAAAATACAAAGCACCTGGTCTGTGGGAGGGGGATGAAGGAGAAACCACACATCTCCAGCCACTTTTTAAAAACTCAGGTTAGTGTCTAGAATCATCAGCTTTTAAATTACATCGTGGGCCAGTGACTGAGCACAGACACCAAGCACAACACCCAAAAATGCTCAATCAAATTCCCTGAAAGAATACAATGGTTAATTCCATCTGGCTTTGAAAAAGTGTGGTTTTGGTGTGCCAAGGAGGGAATTTTAAGATGGCTGTTGCCAGTTAGCTGCCATGGGTAGGTCCCTGCAGGAGGTGGGAGAGCTTCTTGAGGAATGTTGCTATCATTTGTGGCATTTTCTGGAACACAAGCAGGGATATAGCAGACTGTAGTGGCCAGCTGATTCCTGCATCTCTCCGTCAAATCACCTGATGTGGCTCTGTCACATTGCAACCTACCTGTAAAACCAATTTCCATTTTAGAAATTAGTCTTGTTTGAATTACACAGCTGCAAGAACCAGGGTTGCAGTTCCAGAATGGATTTTTGTAGCTGGAATATGTGAACTGGCTCAGTGTGCACATGTGTGTAGCTGTGTGTTCGTGTGCAGTGCACCATCAAAAGTTTACAGGAAGAGCAAATCAAATTTGCTTCCTAATGCACAGTAAACACACAGGCTGAAGCAACTCCACACTCAAATTGAGCCCAGAACAGTTGGTGGTTGTATTACAAAGTCCTCGGCAGTGGGTGCAAACCTGAACTCGCAGTTACAGCCTTTTCTGGTTTAGAAAAGAGATGCCACTGCTGAGAGGTCTGGACTCCTTTTGAACTTCCAGAAAGGAATAAAAATTGATGAGGTAAAGTATCCTAGAGCAGCTGTCCCACTGTTTCCCAGCTCTCACCCATCAGGTTAAATACTACAACGATTTCAGTGGGACCAGCACACTTTAAAAGATGTAGTCTCTCCGTCTTTTTCTCTCTCTCGCTGAATGATATTTCTGCCCACATGCACTGACACATACAGTGTCTAACAAGGCTGTGATTCATTTTCAGTTCTAGTCATGCTCACAAGTGATGTAGCACACTTGCTGTGCCTTCGGGATCTGCGTAATTTAGCTTCATTTTCTCTGCCCCCACCCTGCATTAAGTGAAGTTCCAACAAAGCCAAGTCATCACCCACCAACTCCCCCTCCCACCTGCTTGGGGGATGTGTACAGCAGGAATCTGAATAAGAATAATAAGATTAAATTAATTTTTTTAGAAAGAGAGAGGAGGGGATGAGAGCTTGAGAAATATCGTGAATTGTTAGAAAGCTTTCTAACAGTGAATAATGTGAGTGAATAATGATAATGGGATGTATACTACCAGATCACTGAAGCAGCTGTATCAGTCCTGAATCATCTCCCCATACGTGTTAAAAGCAGCACTGCGTATTGCATCATGCACGTTCACGCTAAAAAACGACTGACATTAAATCTGAATCCCTGATTTACAAAGGCAAACACCTCCTCAGCCTCTCCCACGGTAACCTTGTAGTGACCATTCACTTGTCCCCTGCCCTTTGCAGTCACTTTGACCAAGCACAAATGTCACCACATCCCAACTGCGAACTTCCCTTCACCCAGTGGCCACCGTCCATCACGAATTACACACGGTGGTTTTGTGATACAAATTACAAGCTGCTTCTGAGCTAAACTCCATGTATTTGAGGCATAAGGCCAAGCTGGAACAAAGTGAAAGACAGGCTTTTTATTTGATAAATCTCATTATCTCGCTGGCATTCAAAATTCATCTCAGACACAGAAATGCATCGCAAAGTAGTTCTCTAGTTACTTGGAAGAGCCAAGATGCTTTAATGTTGAAGTTAAAATGTGTTTACCCTCCCATCACACTAACATTTCTAGCTCTCCTCCACCTTCAACCTGGAACTATGTTTTGATGGAACAGAAAACTTGATTTTCGAAAGAAAAACAAGTCAACCGCATTTCTTCAGCAAAGATCCACAGACAAAAGTGAGTCACTGCAGACTCCTTCAAGCAGATCTTAGTGATCTGCATGATTTCCTTAATCCCTAACCAGTGACACAGGGAAAAAAGAATTAGCACCAAAAGCTAGAAGGTACTTCGACATTACAGGTGTGATACTGAGAGGGTTGCTGTCATGACAGAGTTACCGTGAATTAAGACACCACATATGGTCTTTCTTTCTTTACATGAAACGTGTGTGGTGGGAGCCTTGTGTGAGACACACACCCTCCAGGCTAAGCAGCCTCTCCTGTTGCTGACCCTCATTCATGACCAACATGAGCAAGCCAGAGCAGAGATTAAATTCCTTATTTGCTGTAGAGGTCCATCTACTTCTCCTCCTCACTCACTAAGTGCTCACTCAGTTTGGCCATGCAGCTCATCAGCCAGCATGTCCCCAGTTCAGGCACACTTAAATGTCCTGTAAAGAAAGAACCCAAGGGGACACCAGAATTTTGGGCCACCCCAGGCTCGTCCAAGCCTAAAGGTTGGGGGAGGTGGAGTTCCTCTCTCTGCCTTCCCTTAACATCCTCTTTCCTGCCAGGACAAGCCTGGGCTGATCAGGAGCTCATGGTCATTTGCTTCTGATCCATTCTCCTCCTCCTCAGCTCTCAACTATACCAAAGGAATGGAGGAGTGACCACAGCCAGGGAAGGGCTGATGTACATTTCTGATGTATAACACACAGGACTGGGAAGGAACCAGGTCATCCCGTGAGGCTGATATCACAAAGGGCTCTAAGGAGCTCTGAAACACTGCAGGAGGACAGTTCCTGAGGCTGGATACTCGTTGGGAGTAACGGGTCAGGCAAAGAAAGCAGCGGACTGTCATTTCAGCAGACGGGCTACTGCCTCATTTTGCAAATTGAAGAAATGAAGCGCAGGGAAACTACGGGATGGCTTATTGTGGAAATGAAAGCCAAGGCCATGTGTTTTGATTTCCAGAGTGCTCAACACAAGTCCAGCCTTCCTCATCCACGAAGTCATGCTGTAAACATCCTCAGGGCAGGGCCTGCACCTCTCATTTGCTTTATGTCTGTGGCTTCCAATCTTTCACGGTTTGCAGATCCCTTCACGCTTTCCAACAGGGCTGTGCATTTAAACCCGCTGACAACAGGCTTGCTTTCCCTGGCTTCCCTGCACATCTTGCACGTAGCTTGTGAATCCTCACGAATTTGTTCTCTGTGGCCCTCTGCAGATTCCCACGTGTCCCTCTCTTCCTACTACTGATCCCTACACATCCCAAGAGCCAGCAGCAGGCGTTTTCAACGTAGCCCTAACTCAGTCTAGTTGCCCTAATTCCAGACAAAAGCACAGAGCTTCCCTGTCATTTCAGCATTTCCCATCTCAAGGTATGGGAGCTGTTGATCTCCCACATGAAAATGCATTATGCTGTCAGCCCAGCCTAAGGGCTGTTATTTAATTTACTTGAGGAGGTAAGTGAAAGCCCCTTCATGCAAATGCTTACAATGTGATCTGGAAAACAGCAGGCGTAATTAGATAAAATGGCAGCAAAGCCCACCAGGGAAATAATGTTAATTCATGAGGATTTTCCTCTCCACCTCCCTCTCAGTAAGGTTTGAAGCCAAGGAGGGAAGGAAAAAAAAATCAGAATCCGCCTCAATGATCTATTTCTTGGTGAAGTAGAAAAACAGGACAGCAACCAGTGGGGTCATCTAAAATGCCTCAGCATGGCACCTCTAGCAGGACTGGCAGCCCATGTTCCTAAGTGATGCATCACTGAAAACAAAAATTGCTCTGTCACTGTCATAAGTTAATCCAAGTAGAGAGATAACAAGCCATCATCCCAAAACTTCACATCATCTTCTGACCAAGGCCTAGCCAGGCAAAAGAGAAGATCTGTCACATGATAACACCCCTGCAGCCCCCTAGCCCCAGTAATGA